AAAGAGGAGGAATGGCCAGAGGGAAAGGAAATGGGAGAGATGTGATTGTCTTTGAGAAATGGGAGTATTTAAGAAAAATAAAGAGGGAAAAGGCTGTTTTCCTTGGAAAGAGAGTGACTTTGCACACTGTGAACATCTCAGAGGTGTTATGGTGTGGACAGGCAGCTACTGAGCCCTCCAGGGATCCACAGGGTGACCTGCTGGGCTGGGGCCACACTGGGGCTGGGACCTGGGGGCTGTGGGGCCATGGGGGAGAGCAGGGGAGGGGGCAGAGAAATGCCAGGAGTCGGTGGTGATTGCCAGTGAGGTGTGGTGCCCACTGGGTTAAGGAGCTGCTGTGAATAAATGAGATTTCAGAAGGGATTTGGCAGAACATATTTGACAGAAACAGAGGGTGATTAAGGTCAGAGCCCAAGAATCTCCAACGCAGCTCAAACATATTTCCATAAATGTCAGATGGAGGCTGAGTGGGCTGGGGGTATCTCTGCTTCTCAGGTGGGCCAGGGCAGGTACCTGGGTGCTGAACTGGGAGCCCCTGCTCGGTGGGCCCACCACCTCCACGTGGGACCCCTGGAGCTTTGTGCTCCTCTGAGCCTGCTCAGAGGCCGTTGCTGTGCTGGGGCATCCTGCAACTGGGCTCCTTTTCCCATGGCAAACTGTGGGGCTGCCCTGCTCCTTCCCTGCTCTGCCATGGCCAGGTGAAATGAGGGCAGAGCCAGGTATTTTTGCAGGGGGGAATGGTGGTGGTGGACACGTGGCAGCAGCAAACGTTGGCTCTGCAGCAGGTACACAGAGTTTGGGCAGGGAGACCAGAGACTGTCCCCGTGTCTGCAGCTCTCTGGTGCTTCTGACGATGGGAGATCTTTGTGGCTGTGTTACAGGAGCTAGCATTCCCTTGAGCCCAGTGGGATAACTTTATTCTGCTCACAGCAAGCTGTAAGAAAGGCTGTAACCACAGCCTGGAAGTTCTTTGATGCAGTTTGCTGAGTGAAAACCGATGATTTGAAAAATATTTAAAATCTTCAATGGCAGAAAGCACATGCATGGTGCAAAAATACCAAATTTCCAGTTACCTGTGGAACCTGTGTATGAAAAGAGGAGAGAGCAGTAGCAAGGATGAGTGCAACCCTGAAATTCCTGAAGAGCTGGTTGAATTTGCAA